TAAAAATGACCATAAAATCATAAGTATTATAAGTATCAAGCTTTTTTTTAAAGAATTGAACTTTAATTTCTCATGTATCTCTCTATAAAAATCAAACAAACATTAAGATAATAATAGAAACTTTAATTTCTCATGAACTTGTGACCGACACAAGTTAAATTATTTAGAAATACCACTTAACCTAACAAGTATGTTTAGAAACTAACATATGGGATAATAAACCTTTTCCATCAAGGTATATGACAAATTTGTCAAAACTTCGATAGAATTTTCTTCGTATTTTTATTATTTCAAAATATGATAATATGTCATGATTAATTTATAACTTAACCAAAACAAATCCAATTTCAACATATTATGATATCAAAATGGAACATCAAATACATATTCAAAATAAAAAAAGTCTAACTCCTAAACAATTATAGTATGTCAAAAACATTAAAAAAAATAAAATAAAAAGAAAAGTATTAAGACCACCACTAAAATAAGGGAGGCCTACCCATAGAGATTTGAATGGATAGACTAATGTTCCTAGTAACTTACAATTCTACTACATGATAATATGTAAATATTAAATAAATAAAAGGGTAAGTCACATTAACTCAACGAAGGTATAACAACCACAATAAACAAGAAAGAGAAACAAATATCTCACAAGTAGTTTGTAATCATAGAACTTACTTAAAATATATTATTTTAAAAGAAATCCATTATAACTACTCTTTCAAAAGTTTGGTCATAATCAAAAGTTACATCATTTAGTAAAATATCATTTCAATCATTAGTGTTCTAATAAAGTACACATAAATAGATGTTAAAAAATAAAATTTTCTTAAAACATCAAAAAAATTAATGCTAATATAATACTATAAGGTTACTCAAGAGAGAACTAAAATTTAAGGCAATTCTATCTTGTTGATAGCCTTGATAGTTACATCTAACAAGTGGTCCTCACCTAACGTATATTGTGTCGCAATTAATCTTGATGGAAGGAAATTCCACGTCATTGATAGCCCTCTTTGTACACTAGTAGTTTCATTTAACAGTATCTCTCTCCTCCCAAAGTATACTAAGTGTACCTAAGATATTATTTTCACTAGTAGATATAGGATTTTAACATAGCTTCTCTCAAAAATATTTATATAACAAAAAGTTATTCTCGTACACAAATTAAATTTATTTTCAATAATAAAGTTCTGAACACATATCTCACAATTAATTATCATTGAATAAAATTAAAACAATCACTTCTTTCCCACTTTTCTACATAAATTCATATAATTAAACAAAATACACATCTTGATAAACTTTCACGTGATTAAGAAATAAATTCAAAACTTGTTTCTCTCAAGTTAATAATTTTATGGCAATAATAATATATTAAATAATTAAAATAATAATTAAAAATAAGTCATTATAATCATTATTCATTCACCAATAATAAATACCAATTAACTTGCTTCACTCAACTGCTTTAGAATCATGTAAAAAGTGCAAGGATACAATTTTAAATACCAATAATATTTAACAAAGATTTAGAATTAACTTTAATAATAAAATCATAGATGTATACTTAATTTTAAAATACACGTTCCCTAATAATTAGAACTTGTTAAGACTCAACATTCTTACGTATTTAAGTTGTGGACATACTTTAGGAACTTAAATCTGCATTTTTTTTCTCCGTGTAATATTCCTTTCTTTTAAGAACATTATCTCTAACTCCAAAAATCCACCCAAAGATATCTATGTGAAAAAGACAAAATAAATAAATTACAAGAGTTCTTCTAGAATCCTAAAAGGACAAGTTAGCAAAAAAAAAAAAACTCACATAGATTAAAATCGGAATGCCAAGAACTAAATTAAGGATAATGAGAATTGACAACTTGCATGTGAAAAAAAGAAAGAAAGAATTGAAAAGCAGCTCAATGAGAGAATTAGAAATTCCTTAAAATGAAGGTTGCTGCCCCTTTTTTTTACTTCCATTTAAATGGAACAGTGTGTTTCAATATTATATTTAAGGATAAAGTTTAAAAGTCAAAGTATCAAATGTTATATCCTAAGAGCATAAGACCCATCAGTTATTTAGATAAGCATACATGGATTACCATAGAACTTTTGGAAGATGTGAATAAGTTGCTTGTTAGATTACAATAAAGTCATTTTGTCACACTTAAGCACCTCACATTTCATAGAATTGCACTTAAATTTTTGAGTTCTTTTAACTATGAGATACTTAGTGGAAAACAATGTGGTGTGATGCCCCAAATTTTGTAATATAATTTGTTTAGTAATATAAGTGTTTACGTGAACTTTGATATGTTGTGTATTTATTATATATGAACATACATGTATAAGGTGAATGGATTTGATTGATTGAACTGGATAGATTGAATATATATATATATATATATATATATATATATATATATGTGTGTGTGTGTGTATGTGTGTATGTGTATGTGTGTGTGCACGTGCGCATGTGTATGCAGGCTAAGTGTGGATGTTACTGTAGGACATTCTCGCTATAGTGAGAGGGCACTAGGCATAAAACATGAAACTGTGTTGTTCTCACTGTAGCGAGAAGGCACTGAAGGAGAGGGGTAAAACTGTCGCCTTGTCGTTATAGCGAGAGGTCTCTCGCTGTAGCGACAAAGCCACAGTTTGTGGTGCATTCTCACTGTAGTGAGATTCAATAGAAATCAGAATACAATTTCCTTTGAAATTTTTGTTGTAGTAAGAGAGGGTGTCGCTCGCTGTAGCGAGAATTTCTCACTGTAGTGAGAGTGTCGCGACCAGAAAAGGATTTAAAGGAGTTAGAGTTTGGGTAAGTTTCATTTCTCACTTTCCCTTCAACAATCTCTTCGATTTTCTTGATCAAAAACCTTATTTCACCGATTAAATTGCCTCCAAGCCGTTTGAGAGTAAGATTGAAGGTTGAAATTATGTGGGGAACACTTAGAGGTAAGTTTTAATGGTTAGAGTTTCAGTTTTTCATCCCCATCCTCTTATTTCTTGGTTTTCCTTGGTTCTCATGAGAAGTTCCCGTGTATTTAGGACTAAGTTCGTGTGGAGAGTCTTCTCATTGCCGATTTTGTGTGAGTCTTCATTTGAGGTAAGGGGAGACTCTACCCTATCTCATTTTACTTGAAAACCAGTTATTTACTATATTTTGTAATGTGATTGAGATAAGATGTGTGGGCTAATGTATTTTGATAGATAATGGTGGTGGATATGATTGTAATGATTTGAAAGTTGATTTAAGTAGATTTTTATAAAGAACTGATGTTAAAATGTTGTGTGCATGAAATGGACATATGTGTCATGTGTGGTAGATGAATGTGGGCCATTGGGCCGTATACTGTAAATGAAATTGGGCACTTGTGCCGTGTGTGCGAGTGAATGTGGGCCTATATGTCGTGTAATGTTAATAACTATGGATAATTGCGCCGTTTGTTGTGAATGAGTAATGTGTGTGGTTAAAATGTGTGTGAATGGAGTGTGTCGAACGTCGTTATAATGATGCTGTGAATAGTTCAACGATACACTGGAGTTGTGGAAGATAAGGACGGTAGAAATACCTTGGAGAAGAGAGAGTGGTGGTGACACCAACAAGGAGCGTGGGTGCACCACGGGCCACACACTCTCCTCTTGACTAGACCTCTGACCACTACTTTTGCTGAACGACTCGTGACTGCCCACGTGGTATCCGTGATGCAGGAGTAACCAACGACCGTTCATGGTGTGAAACTGTGATCACAGTGAGCGTGACTATGTATGATAAGCGCACGTGTGTGAAATGTTAGTGTAATGAGTGTATCGATTGTGTTTTAAATTTGAATGATGATTGTGACTGAAATTGAGATGCTTGCTTTATGAATGCATGATTTAAATGTGTTAGTAAATACGAAGTATTTGATATGAGTCTCTATATTTGTGTGTTGGATAGTGTAGAGTATTCACCCTTACATTCATTTTTCAAGTAACCGAAACGATCAACACCAGACTCAGTGAAGGAAGGATAAACTGTTATAAGACATAGATTGTATTTTTAAAATTATGATATAATTGAATTAATCCTATAGCAGTCTTTGATATAAACTTGTAATCATTTGTTGTTTTGATATGTTTTATAAAACCTTGTGATGAGATCTTTTATTTCAATGAAAATTTTATCACTCTCATTTTGTGAAATTATTAATTAGAAATTAATTTAATGTGTTACAGTGGGCATAGACTAATCTCTTTTCAACTACCGCGCCAACATGATTTTCATGAAGCTTAATTTTGGGATACACTAACTAATTTTATACAGGTATTTGCTATCCCTAGGCCACAACTAAGGAAGCATGTTTATGGCTTCTATAATATTTGCTAAAGGAGATAGTATTAGCACAATTAGGCTAGATAAGCTGCATATTTTGTGAGCTATGGTAAATTAATTTGACAAGAATACTGAAGCCTACTTAGCCTGTCAATTTAAACTGTTTGGACATGCCACAACTGGGGATATAGTTATAGGTGGTCTCGTTACACCTATTGCACTTCACTTGGGTCTAAACTTGCGATTCATTTACAAGATGCCCTTAACCTTAGGTTGGATTTAGAATCCTTAACTAATTTCTCACGGTTTGGAAAACAGCCAGTAAACTCATGAGTGAACAATATAGAAAAGAAACGACCTGGAGCTTTGTATCTCATTTGTCACCATAATCGTGCTACAGACCCCATATACAAAAAGTAGCACGATGATCCTTATGTCTCACGTTTTCCAACTGTACCTTTTAATTAAGAAAATTGACATTAATTTTACGAAACTTTGTTTCAAAATATCCCCAGACTGAGGAAACTCTAAACAGTTCTCTTACAAAGATTTTAGATGGTTTAGAAAAACTTTCAAACCATTCACTTCAATTTTATTTTATTTTCTAAAATATGGGTTAATTTCAAATAAACCTTGGTTCTTGAGATCCAAACAAAGCCTTAGAAAATAGGTGCTAAAATTGATCTCCCTCAGCAAATAGCATCGAGGAACTGAGAGTAGAAAATAGATTAGTGGAAGGGACTAAACATTCGATACTGACATACACTATAACTTAAAATCCTTGAAACATCATGAACAAAAATTTAAAACTGAATATCAAAAACTTTTCCTGCTCGGAAGAAAAAAAAAGGCAATGGTATATCTTAACAGTTCAACTTGTAGTGCACTTTAACAATCCAACAATCATGAGATAACGACACGTCACAACTCCATTTCTTGACCAAATTCTTCAATAGTTTTCGTGGCTAGTGTCAGAACATCTACAAAAGCACTGAATGATGCCCGAAGAAATCTGGCTTCTATCGCCTCAAAGTGCCTGAATGAGAAGAATTGAACGGGCAAAGAGAGAGAAGATTACACATTCAGCATGCCATTAAAGCTAAATTAATGACAGCAGCAAATGAATTTTTCAGATAAAAGACAGTTTAAAATTAATGACCAACAGAAAGTTCTCATATTCCAAACGATAATATTTAAAATTGACTTAATTACTTTTTTAGTCCTAATATTACAAATGTGAAATTTTTCGTCCCTATAGTTTTAATTGCACCAATTAAGTCCCTATGCTTTCTCAATTAAACAAATGTGATCCCGCTGTTAATCTGGCATCCAATTATTAACAGAAAAAGCTGATTTTTATCGCATCAACTTTCCTCAACAGTGCTTTTTTAATTTTCTTCTCTCCATAGGTTCCCTCGTGGTCATACCAATAAAGAAATCACCATGCAAAGAACTCCCTAAACCCAATTTCAAATCATTCCTTTTGATACCTGAAAAGGATCACACCTATAGAAGCATCAATATGGATTTTCATAAATTCATGAAGTCAGCATCGAGCCTTCCAAGTTGCAGTCGCAAAAGTTTTATCTTCTACTTTTGTTTTGTAAGATGATGATGTTTGGTTGATTTCACTTTCCCCTCCCATGCTAGAGTCTCCAAGATTCACAACAAAACAATAACTTCCCTGTTTTAGGAATTTGGAAGCCCTAAGATATATGAAAAAGACAATAGCTTCCAACATATCTCAATAACCATTCTCAATTTTTCATCACGCATGACATTTTTTCTTAACTTAACTAAGGTGAAAAATAAATTTAACAAAATCCATCTACCACATTCATAGACACTTCAGAAAAGGTTAGCCAAGTTAGCCTTGTCCGTTAGTAATTGGATGGAAATTTAACAGCAGACCACACTTGCATAATTTGTCGTAGTTAATGAAAAATTAGGTTAAATTATAATTTTAGTCCCCATACCTAACTTACTTTTCGTGTGTCCCTGAATGAAAAAATTATATTTCAGTCCTTAAATGAAAAAGAATATATAAATTTGTCCCCACCATTAAATGAAGTTATAACAAAGTTAGTGTGTTTTCCATGCAAGGATCAAAACAAAAAACAATGTGCTATATGTAAGGACAAAAATATTAGAGCTTTTATATAGAGGAACCAAAACAAAGTGCAAGAGTGACGATTAAAACAAAAAGCTGTGTCAAGTATAAGGACCAAATTCAATACCATTCTAACTTCAATGAATGGGAGAGATTAATCCATAAACGGTTTTCATGTAAGGACCAAAATGTAAGGATTTTTTCATATAGGGACTAAAACCAAGAAAAAAAAAAAACAAATTTGATAGCTGAAAATTGATTACAGTATAAATTTCACTTGAGATATCAAAACAACCAAATTTATATCCAATTTACTCCTTAAAACATAACATTAATTGCATTTAAACAAGAAATGATGCACTGCTCAACAGACCGTAAACTCACTTACAAAAGCTTCCAACAATTAGTACAAAAAGAGGGTACTCACACAGATAGCTTTCCATCGGACACCGTCATGAGTCGTTGTACTTTATCAGGTTGCAACTGCAGAAGGCACAGAATTATTTGAAAAAAAAATCAAGAAGCAGTTGGGAAAGCATAAGAAAGCTCATATATTCAGCCAATAACCTCTTTATCAACAGCTAAGGCAGCATATACTATGGAAGCATTCTCCTCAGATCCAAAATCCACTTCCAGGTCACTGTAATAGTCATTCAATTCTTACATTTGTTATAATCTAAGAAGTAGGAACATGAGAAGACCAAAGCAACATTCAATTCTAATATAATAGAATGAAGAGCGAGAGAGGAACCAGGTGAATTCCCATTGCGATTGGGAGGGTGGTGCGGTAGCCATGAATGGAAGCGTAGTTCTGCAACCAAATTGAAAGGGGTTGTTAGAAAGTATTGTTAGTGGCTACTACTATTGACTCGCCAAACGGAAATCCAGCAACTTTGGGTATCAAGCAAGACACGCTGCGAGGTTCTTAGGGAAGTAAAACCTTTCTCCCCAAAATAATAAGTAAAAATTTGTAAATTAGGGTTTTATAATAATAATAATAATAATAATAATATCTTATTTATTAAATTTGAGTTATTATTTTTTTAAAAATATTTTAATAGTTTACATTTAAAAAACCATTCATTTTTATTTTATTTATCATGTATTTGACATTTTTTTTAATTTAAAGTTCTAAATTTTATTTTTTATAATTTATTTCTTGATTTTAAAATTTTCATGTCTTTTATTTAATAATTATATAATATATTTTTAATTTAAATAAAAATACTATTTTTTAATTTTTTTTTAAAATTTGATGATATGTTTTAAATTTTTATTTTACTAATATTTATGTAGGGTGTGATGCATGTATAGCTGATGCTTTGTGGGTAATGATCCAATAGATTTGCACTCATCTTTTAGCTTATAGAATTAAGAAGGAAAAACAGACATGTACTGCGAGAAGACTCGAAGTTGGAAATTATATTGCCATTTAGACGTTAAAAATTATGTAGTATTGGCTACTTAAGTTTGGACATGTTTCAATTTTCCTTTTTTTCTAATGTACCCATGTCACTTTTTTATTTGTCTAGACCATGCTGTTATGAAATCATACATTTTTTTTTATCATTTAAACCTTGTTTTCTTCATGTACGTAAATTCTCAAATCAATAAGTTTTCATTCATGTTGTTTTAGTATTATCACTGCTACTATGGACGAGTCTATGAAAGAAATGTAAGAAAAACTTCTTTAAACCCCAAAGACAAGCCTTTACATTCCACATGACAACATAAATCTTGCATAAACTTGATTCATTGGATTTTAACTCACTAACATTCGACTTAATTATTTTTTTCTATTAATGCTAACTCACTATGACCATCAATTTGATGTCACATTGATGTTACAAGTATATTCTGATAAATTTATTTAATTTATAATGTGGTTTATTAAGTCAATAAAAATGGTTTATGAAACCAATGAAACAAGGTTTATTTTGTCAAATGTTATCTTTAATTTTTTTACAAAATCAATCAATGTCACTTTCATGTTGATCTTTTAATAAAATGCTGTACAATTTAGTACTGAAGCACAAAACAAATTGGATCATGCATCTCTAAATTTTTTTCTTATCATTTATGAAGTCAATAAAGCAAAGTTCATTTAGTCAGAAGTTAGTTTTGACTGAATTAACTCATATCACTTTCATATTTATCTTTTTAACATGAGCTTGTAGAATTTTATAATGGTGCACACAACTATTAAGAACTTGGATCTATGCATCAATTTTTTTTTATCCAAATACAAATAAACTAAAATACTTTTAAAAGAAGGAAATTTAATATTAAAATATTTTTTTTAAAATTTATAACACTTTATTTTTAATTAAAAAACAATAATTTAAGAGAATGATAGAATTAGAATTTTTTTAAATTACTCAAGTTATCCAAAATATTGTTTTCTTCCAAACTCAGTTTGTGGAAAATGTTCAAACACACACACAAAAAAAGAACAACTCATAAAACCTCCTTCAATTGAAATCACTTTAACTCTAAAATATTTCTTCCGAATTTGCTACAAGAACACAATTAATCAAGGTTTCAAGTTCCATAATATATCATTCTTAATATTACCAATATAAAACCAAATGAATTTAAAACAAGCCACTAGGCTACACAAACAATTTACCATTCCAAAGAGAGCTAGGAAAACTCACCCTTGATAATATTTTTCCACTTTGTGGGAACACATCTCCGCTTCCCAATTACGATTGGGAAGGAAGATTTCAGTTTCAAACGCTTGAATTTTTCATAGTTCTTGAACAAAACCTAATCAATATAACATGAGCTCTTAGAAATATTCATGAAAACAACCAAAATAATATAAATACAAATAAAAAGAGGTAAGTCCCAGTTACTCAGGGTTGTTCAAAATTCTCAATATGTCCTTATATACTATTAATTAAAAATACTACCAAGATACTGCAAATGATAAGTATTTGTGCTCACCGATACCAATCTTAAATCTTCATTGAGGACATTCAAATCGTAGTCAAAGATAATTTTCTTATTTCGGTGATTTTAGACCTTTCAAAAATTAAATTTTAAAAAACATTTGTAAATTACTTCATAAAATCATTTAAAAATCACTTTTGATATTTAATTTCTAAAATGTATTAGACACTTTCAGAAATTAAATTAGGAATGTAACAACCAAAAAGTGGTACAAGTAACAAAATGGTGTAGTAAATAACAATCCTCATAGGTTTAAATATATCAAGGTGCTAGAGCACTTGAGTATATATATTGTATAAAATAAAAATATTTGGCCTTCTGAGTTGGTATTTTATCAACATGATATTTTATCAGACGAAGTACAAAACCAAGAAAAAGACATTTTGCAGAACAAGGGCGAGTTAGTAATTCTATAAACTACTCGAGTGTGATAATCACGTTTGGTCGTACTAATGAAGGATACAACATAATTTAATAAGAAAAATAATAGACAGATGTATCTGTCCTCAAACAAGTACGGGTGCCTTCACCACAACTCAAGGAAGGTTACAATACAATTTACAATATTATAAAACCTACCTATCGCCTCCCACCATCTGAATCCAAACAATTTCTATATGACATGGACGAATTCCAATCCTTTGCCCACTATCTGGATATGTTAAAAGCAGCCAGTAATTCATATTGCAGTCTCTGGGGTCACCAATATGTGTGAATGGCCTTGAAAAATTTTAACTCCCCATGATCTGAGCAAGCATCTGAGCTCCATTATAAATTCATGTTATAAAAATCAAAATTTTACAAATCCAATAAATTTAAGCATACGCCATCATAACAACTGAGACTATACCCAAACTCAAATATCAGGCTCCAGCTCCATCATTGAGCTTAAGAGTCATTTTTATGTTCATCGCTGCTAACTCTGCCGCCAAATATCTAAATACATAAGGCATGGCGACTGTCTCCATGCCTTTACTCGTTTGGCAAGCATGACAGGCGACCTTTTTTGGAGCTCTTCCAGGGGGTAGCCCACCAATCTCCCGCACTGGCCGCTTTTGAGGCTGGATGAATGTTGTGGTAAGCATGCTTCCACAAACGGAACACACATCAGCAATGTGATAATCAGAACAGGTGTGCAACCTATCATGTAGAAGATATGCAGCTCCATGTGCAAGTAGAGAGTCACGTTCCATTTCTCCAAATCGAATTCCCCCACCACGCTTTCTCCCTTTTATTGGCTGCCGGGTGACCTGGTCAATTGTGCCAGTAGATCGAACCTGTAACAGAGAAAATGCATTTGGTATTAAACAACACACTATTGTTCAGTTAGGCAGTAAGCACCTAAACCTTTACCGCAACCAAGGGAAAAAGTTGCACAAAAATATCAAGTATTCCACTCATAAACAAGAGTCTCGACAGGAACTATTGTTTATCAAAATGTCTTTGTAGTTGTCTGCAGAAAGTAATTCACAAGAACAAAAGAACAGTAGTTCTGGTCCCTCGAGCATAACAATCCTAACAATTTATTAGTTTAAATTTGATGTATTGTCACTGAAGCTTTTTATGCTATCATCAAATGACTATCATGATGTGTGAATGCAGAAAATATGACTAAGTATTGTTTTGCTATTGGATGGTGCTATAGGATGTCCAAACAGTGAATCTGTTCACCTGAAATTTATCAGAGACCATGTGACGTAGACGCTGATAATAAACAGGTCCAACAAATATCTCACATGGTAGTTCTGTTCCATAAAATCCACTGTACAGAACCTCCAAACCATGGTAATTAAATCCCTTTGCTCTTAGCATATGACCAAGATCATCAACAAGGGAACTTGATTTTGAATCAAACTCCCCATTGTCTTTATTCACTGAATTTCGGAATGGAGTTGCATTCACAAATTCTCCACGTAAGCTACCTCCCTGCAAGAAGAAATTATTATTATTCCTTCATGCCTTCTCACATGAGACATACAGCACAGCTAAGTTACAAATTACAAAATAAGAAATGATATAATATTAACATAAAAACACTGAAATTAGAATAAGTTTCATAAGTCAGCATTAATCATTGTAGACACAATTAAAAACTATAATTATCAGTGCAACCTCACTTGTACTGGTACAAAGTTTCAATAATAATTGAAAGATCTATTAGCAATATCTGACATGAGAGCTACGCAAAAAATGAAGACAAGCCAAAACATAAAAATAATCCTCAATAAGATATTTCACATAGAAATGAGATAGATCATTATTGATGAAGTTGCTGGCCCAAATGACCAGTTATTGGATCTGAAGGAGAGGCTCAAAGCATGGAGAGTGTATGTGAGAAAGAAAAGGAAATGTAGCGTATGAGTAGTTGCCGAAAAAAGAGCATACTGGTAAGGGGGAGCATTAGTGGGGGATATGCTGAGATTTTGTTAGGAGGAACAGGATTTTCATTCGTCATGGAAATCTTGTAGGAGCCATAAGCTTGGGTGATTGCTGTTGCATTTTGTTTCTACAATTAAAATTACAATACAATGTCTCTTTCTTATGGAATTTATATCAATTATCAATTGACAAGTTGTCATATCTTTATCTTCCATTGACTAATCCAAATGAAAAAACTGATAAGTTATGATCATCTTCATGCTTTTTTATTTAGCAGTCGTACCTTAGCAGCAACAGATTCCAAAAGCATAGCAATTGTCATCCTGGAAGGAAATGCATGAGGATTGATAATGAGATCTGGTCGCATCCCAGTGTTACCAGAAAATGGCATATCAACATCTGGCCACAACTGAGAGCAAACACCTTTCTGCCCATGTCTACTGCTAAATTTATCACCAATGACAGGGTTCCGAGGATGTCGAAAGCGTATGTTGACCTGATCCAATAATTATAAGCATGAGCTAAAATTTAACAGATCAAACTGAATAATCATAAGTTAAAGAGAACTACAAGGCCAA